CCTATTCTAGATATTGCTCTCAATCGGGTGAACTGAGTAGAGGCCAAGACGTGATTTCGTAGAGGCTTACGATTCGAACCGATTGACACCACTATCAGTCGCTGATGTCTTTGCTATTTTTCAAAGAACCCGTTGTAAGTATTCACATCCCTTCCTCCCGATTTCGGTTTTACGTACTTGGATCGCTGGTGAGACCGTCGAGTTTTGTATCCGCTGCGCCGCGAGGTGCGCTGACGGTCCCAACAGTTCCTAGTCCATGATTAGATGACCAAATATGCATGTTCTTAGCAAATATGCAGTTTTTAGAAAAATGATCGATCCTAAACTTTCTATTTTGCAAAGAATCGATCCTTTTTCAAAAAGATCGATCCCTTCGTTGTTTTGCTCGATGAAAAAAATGTGAAATTGAATTCATAAAAGGCCTGAAGTTTTCTTAAATTCTAATTTGACCTCTGAATGATTGTTTGTGTTCAAGTTAACCTAGAAATTGATTTGTTTAATTCTTAAACTCTTAAATTGGAATTTGATGAGATTTGAGTGATCACTCCTTTAAGACACTTAATTATATAATGGAACCGTCATTCGCATGTTACTATTTGGTACATAAGTTTGCATATTTATGTTTTGGTTTATAATCTGTATGATCTATTGAGTGATCTGACTTTGTTTAATATGTAGTAACCTTAATTGGGTGATTTGACTTGTTGATTTATCATGTGATGTGAAATGTCTAAAATACCCCTAAACATATAAATGTAATGTTTGCATGTTTAATTGAGATTTAATTGCATGTTAGTTACATAGAACATTGTATGTGATGAATAATAAGAGATTTTAATTTGTTTGCTTCATGCGTAATGTGGATCCTGATTTGTCCAACACGATTGGAACCTAATGTACGCTCAAGTATTCGAATTGGACTTTTGGACTGGGTATGGGGTATTATATTTGTTGGTATCAGAGCCATGTTACACAACTTTTCTGTTGATTAACGATGTTTATGCTATTGTAGGTCGGGGTAGAAAACAAGAACCAAATTATCACATAGTTTTGAAATGTTTTTGTAGGTCTTGTCTTGATCACTGGTTCACTTCTCACTCTGATGTTGGTTTGTATGTGTCTAGTTAGAGAGATGGAACCACAGCGTCATACTATGTTAGGAGCTCTAGGGTCGAGTTGTCCTGCTACCGGGGTAAATACGACCGAGGTTGGAAGTGGTGGCAGTGGACCCCCGCCAGTTGTCCATAACCGAATCGTCCTATGGATGTGTTAATTGAGGCACTTCTGGGAGCTTTACATCGAGCCATTCCGATTGAGGTGCCTATTCCTGCGCCGGTATCAGTTGCTAGAGAGTTTTTATTAGAGTGCTTGAGGGCTTTATGAGCCAGGGAGTTTAGTGGTGTTCGTCGTACCGAGCTGATAATAGTAGATGAGTGGTTGAAGAGTGTTATTCGAGTTTTTAATCACATGGTTGTACCAATGCTGAGAGGATGGGCTGTGTTACGTCCTTACTTCAGGTTAACGCTCATCGTTGGTGGGTCACAATTCGGAGGAGCGCCACTAAGGATAGACTAACATGGCTATAATTTATGGAGATGTTTAGGCGCAAGTTTCTGGGTACACAGTATAAGGACGCGAGGAAGAAGGAGTTTCTCGACTTGGTTCAGGGTCATTTATTGGTATATAAGTATAAGGTTGAGTTTGTTCGTCTGAGTAAATATGTTTTAGATATTGTGCCGACTGAGCTTGCGAGGTGTAAGATGTTTAAAGATGGTCCGAGGAAAGAGATTTATGCCTATTTAGTTATCGGGTCTTCAGAGGTGTTCGAAATTATAATAGATCATGTGACAGATATCGAGAGTACTTTGGGTGGACCAGTTAGGAAGTTATCTGGAAAGAGGTCCGGTGATGCTAGTTTTCAAAGTCATTCGGCTAATAGGGGTCGAGGATTAGATCAACGTGATTCTCATCAAGGTCAGTATGGTAAGGTTGTTGGATAGTTTGGAGGTTGGAAACAGTTTCTACTTTGTTCATCTTGTGGTATAGGTTATTTAGGCAAGTGTTGGCATACTACTAGAGGTTGTTTTTGTTGTGGCGACAAGGGTCGTCGATTACAAGATTGTTCGAGGAGAGCTGAGCCTAGCGATGTTGCACTTGTTCCTGCTAGAGGAGGTGGTGGAGTTGGTACGGGTGGTCCAATGGGTCAGTCTCGTGGTATAGGTCATGGTCGTACTAGGGTGGCTGAGACTGGTGAACCTACTAGAGTGTACGCAATTCGTGAGCCTTAGGATCATGTTTCGACGGATGTGATCACATGTACTTTTCTTCTAGACTCTTTTCTTTTGTTTACCTTGATAGATTCTGGTTCTATGCACTCTTATATCCTTGGTAGTTTGGCTAGTCGGTTGAGTGTTCCTGTTTGTGTTAAGAGTGTGGGGTTGGTTATAACTACAGCTTTGGGTGAGAGAGCATTGTGGATCGTGTGTATCGTAGGTGTCATTTGGTTATTTAAGGTGAGTTTTTTTAATCAATTTGATGGAGTTATCGTTCTATGGTTTCGACGTCATTCTGGGTACAGATTGGTTACACGAGGATCATGTGTATTTGGATTTCAAGTGTTCCAGGGTAATTCTGAAGATGAAAAGCAATGTTGAGTTATTGGTTGTATGCGAGTGGTTAGAGTTTCTTTCTAATATTGTGTCAGCTTTGGATGCAAGTAAGATGTTGGGTCGTGGCTGTGAGGCGACTTGGCTTACATACATAATCTGGTTGGTCAGGAGTTGCGTGTGTAGAACATTCATACGGTTTGAGACTTTCGGGATATGTTTCCAGAATAACTTCCGGGTTTGTCATCGGATCGTGAGGCTGAGTTTCGTATAAAGACTTATACCGATTCAACCCCTGTGTCTATTTCGCCCTATTGCATGGCACGTACGGAGTTAAAGGTGTAGTTCCCAAAGTTGTTGGATCGCAGTTTCATCCATTCAAGTGTTTCTCTGTGGGGTGCTCTAATTTTGTTTGTAAACAAGAATGATGGTACAATGTGAATTTGCATTGATTATCATCAGGTTAACAAGTTGAAGATTAAGAATTGATATCCTTTGTCGAGGATCAATGACTTGTTTGGCCAGTTTAGGGGAGCCAAGGTGTTTTCGAAGATGGACTTCCGTTCTGGGTACTATCTGTTAAAGGTTAGTGAACCGGATGTGATGAAGATAGCTTTTCGGACGTATTATGGTCATTACGAGTTCTTGGTGATGCCGTCTGGTTTAACTAATGCTTCAACTGCTTTTACAAACTTGATGAACCATGTGTTTCACCCGTATCTTGATAGTTTTTGCGGTGGTGTCCATTGACGATATCTTGATGTACTCAGCTTCTAAGGAGGATCATGATTCGTATCTCCGGGTTGGTTTACAAGTTTTGAGGGAAAAGAAGTTGCATGCTAAGTTTTTTAAGCACAATTTTTGATTAGGCGAAGTGGTATTTCTTGGTCATGTTTTTTCCATCGAGGGTATTCAAGTTGATCTGAGTAAGTGGAAGCTGCCTAGGAATGTTGTTGAGGTTCATAGTTTTATTGGGTTAGCAGGGTACTATAGATAATATTTTGAGGTTTCTTCATGAATAGCTGCTCCGTTAATTGAGTTGTTGTAAAAGGATTTGAAGTTTGAGCGGATGAGTGAAAGGCATAATAGTTTTGAGTTATTTATCAACTTTGATAAATGCTTCGATGTTGGTTCAATTGGTGTCGGGAAGGGGATTTTATGGTTTATAGTGATGTGTTGATTGTGGGTCTTGGGTATGTGCTGATACAATATGGTAAGGTAGTTGCTTATTCGACGAGGTAGTTGAACCCTTATGAGCGTAACTATCGTTCACATGATTTGGAGTTTGCCACAGTAGTGCATGCGTTGAAGATATGGTGACACTACTTGTTTGATGAGAAGTGTATTCATTACAGTGATCATAAGAGTCTCAAATACTTCCTCACTAAGAAAGAGTTGAATTTGAGGCAGAGGCATTAAATTGAGCTGTTAAAGGACTACGACTGTGTGATTGAGTACCATCCGAGTAAGGCTAATGTGGTTGCGAATGCCTTGAGTCGAAAGTTGATGGGTGAGTTACGTACTTTGTTTGCTCGTTTGAGTTTGCCTGAGGATGGTTCTTTAGTATTTGAGTTACAAGTTAAGTCTACTTGGTCTTAACGTATTCGGGATTTGCAAACAAGGACAAGATGTTGCAAGAAAAGTTTTAGTTAGTACCAGATGATGTTAGGGGTGATTTCTTGTTGAACTATGAGGTTGTTTTATTCTTTCAAGGTAGGTTGCATGTGTCGAGGGATGAGGGTCTGAGGAGTGAGATTCTCATAGAGGCACATAGTGGAACATTTGTGATGTATCCGAGTGGTAAGAAGATGTTTTGAGACTTGCATGAGTTATTTTGGTGGCTTGGGTTGAAGGTGCTATTGTTGAATTTGTTAGACGATGTTTGGTTTGTCAGCATGTTAAAGCTAAGCATCAGTGTCCTTCGGGTTTACTACAACAGATTAGTATTCTTGAGTGGAAGTGGGAACGTATTACGATGGATTTTGTGACGAGTTTACCGTTGACACCATTAAAGAAGGATTAGGTTTAGGTGATAGTTGATCAATTAACTAAGTTTGTGCATTTTCTACCAGTTCATACTACGTGTCCGTTACGGAGGTTAGCTGAGTTGTTCATAACTGAGATAGTACGATTTCATGGAGTTCCTTCGTCGATCATTCCGGATCATGATCTGTGGTTTACGTTGAGGTTTGGCTAAGTTTGCATAAAGCTTTGGGTTGGAAGCTTAGTTTGAGCACGTCTTATCATCCACAGATAGATGGGAAGTCTAAGTGGGTAATACAAGTTTTGGAGAATATGCTTCAGGTGTGAGTGATTGATTTTGTTGGTTCATGGGATTTTTATTTGCTATTGGTGGAGTTTGCTTAAAATAACAATTTTCAAGCTAGAATTTAGATGGCTCCGTTTGAGGCGTTTTACTGGCGTAAGTGTCATACTTCTTTGAGTTGGAATGAGTTGAGTGAGAAATGTGTTGTTGGTCCAGAATTGATTCAAGAGATTGAGGATAAATTTAAGTTGGTTAAGGATCAGTTGAAGGTTGTTTTTTATCGGCAAAAGTCATATGCCGATTTGAAACGTCGAGAGGTTGAGTACGCTGTGGGTGACTTGGTGTTTCTTAAGGTTTCTCCTTGGAAGAAGGTGTTATATTTTGGGCATAAGGGTAAGTTTAGCATGAGGTTTATAGGACCATTTGAGGTGTTAGAGCGTGTTGGGCAAATTATGTATCGTTTGAGGTTGTCACCTAAGATCGAGCGTATTCATGACGTGTTCCATGTATCGATGTTGCGTAAGTATAGGTAAGATAATTCTCATGTTGTTTCAGTTGATGAGGTTGAGGTTAGTGAGGATATTTCTTACGAGGAAAAACATGTTCAGATTTTGGCTAGGGATGTGAAAGTTCTTTGGAACAAGGTCGTTCCGTTAGTAAAAGTGTTGTGGCGTAACCACAATACTGAGGAGGCGACTTGGGAGACGGAAGAGTTGATGAGAGCTCAGTTTTCACACTAGTTTAGCTAAGGTAATTTCGGGGACGAAATTCTTTTTTGGGGGAGAGAGTTGTAACTTCCTAAAGTCGGGTCAGTAGTTAGGCTCGATTTCAAGTCGATTTTCGGATTTCTTATAAAAAAGAAGAAAATTTCTAAAATTTATATTTTGGTTTTAAAAATATTTTGGAAAGGTTTTAATTGATTTTAGATGATTAATTTTAAATATGAAAGTTTAATTAAATGATTTGGTGATTGAATTGAAGTAATTGGAAACTATAATTTCAGTGATCATTTTGTAAATTTTTACAATGTCCAAAGTCTATGAAGCAATTATACCAAGGCTTATGTTTAGAGTTTTCCCTCCTAAATTAAAATGTTTTAATTTTCCCTTTTTACTATTTTCCATCTAAATTCATTTTAATCTAAATTATATTTCCTTATTTACTTGTTTTCATTCACGTGCTTTTCATTTCATTTTTATTTTGCATTTTGGTAACTTCCATTAATTTCCTCCATTTTCTCCCAAACAAGCTGATTAATTTTTTCTCTTTTTTTTCTTGATTTCTAAATTCACTTATCTCAATATAGATTTTAATTTTAATTTTTCTCTTCTCTTCTCTTCTTGTTCTTAAAGCTTGATCGTAATAGACTTCCATTGATGATCTCAATTTCAATCTATTTTCCAGCAAGGTAAGGATCTTTTCCTTGGGTTTCTTTCAAGCTTCGAGGGCAAGTGACTATGTGTTAATGATTTTATTGAATTGTTGATTTAATTGAAAGGATTTCTAAGATTTTAATTGATTTTCGAAGCTAATTAATGATTTTATTAAATTGTTGATTTAATTGAAAGGATTTCTAAGATTTTAATTTATTTTCGAAGCTAATTAATGTGTTGCTTTCTTGAATTTATTTTGAGGTTTTATTAATTAAATTGAGTTGTTTTTGGAGTGATTATAATCATATTAAATTAGTTTTTCGATCGCAAATGATTTGGATGTTGATTTCTTGAAAGTAATGTTGATTTTCAGTATTTTTGGGAATCCGAGAATTTAGGTTTGTAGATGTTGTTTTGTGCAGTTCTAGCTGAGTTTGATGTTGATTATAGTTGTTGTTTATCATATTTTATTGTGGAGATTCGTGCGTTTCGGTTTGGAGCTTCTAGAGTGATGTTTCAGTAAAGTTTTCGGTGTTTTCAGTGTTTGTATTATGTTTTTGAAACAGATGATTCTGCTTTGTTTTAGATCAGATTTTGATGTGTTAATTTACTTTTAAAGGTTCTTATTGTGTTTTTTGTTGAGGAAACTTGGTGCTTTGAGTTTTGTGAACATTGAGGTAGTGCTTGGAATCATTTTTGGTTTCCGGACATCAAGGTGAGTGACTCTCATTCTAAGGAAATAAACGTGGTTCAAGGTTGAGGTTGTATATTGTTGCATTGTAATTTCGATATTTATATAATGTGTTATTTGGTTAATTATAATGATTGAATATGAATTATGTTGATTTACATATGATGCCACTTATGTTGTAAATGAGAATGTGAATTGTGAATGTGATGTGTCGTAAATGATGCATAGAATTTTAGAAACGGTTTTGTGAAAATTTATATGTTTTTGGAATGTGAATTGGCTGAGCTAAACTTTATCATTGTCCAAATATGTGGGTTGATCATGACAACCAAATCCATAAGTGTGTTTCAAAGTTTTTTGAATCGATATGTGAAAACTATGCATCATTGACAACCACACTCGGTGAATTGGATTAATTGGCTATTGTTCTTAATATGACCTTAGGATATAAAAGGCATGCCTAGGAAAGAGTAATGTAACATCTAAAACCCATATAATTATACCAATATATATTATAGATGTCACATGAACTTCTTAAAACATTTCCCAATTCAAAAGTGATTTACAAATTTATTTTCTTAAAATGGTAATTGACAATATAAAAATATTATCACAAGTAAAACTATAATATGATATTTAAGACATATATATGTATATTAAATATGTCTACTCAAAATAATAATACTAGTTCATATTATTCATATTTAAAATAACAAAAAATGATTTAGTTTATCCATTACAAACCATTTTCCAAAATAGTTAAAAAGAGTAATAGGACATTCGTAAGTACATACCACTAAACTACGTCAAAATTACATAATAAAATGTTTTACTGATATTGTAATATATTTATTGATGTTGGCAGTTGCTCTGTACTTTTTACTTCTAATCTTGGCTTTTACCTACACATGAAAATATCACACACTAAGTATATACTTAGTGAGGCAAATAAAAGCAATAAACACTGCAATACGAATCATGCATGAAATTTAATAATATTTTCATATGCCAAAATCAAAATGACATAATATAAATAAAATCATTTTTATAAACAACTACAGCCCACGATTCTATATCCATGATGAACCCGCTATAGGATTCAAATATTACATAATAGTGCTAAGGTCGAGCTTTGCTCACTTAATAATGCACCGTAGTGCTGAGGTTAGGCTTTGCCCACCTGACTTGTACTATGTGTCTTTATTTGACACTCTAGTACTACTTAAACTTGCAGCTGCTAGACTCTATGGCATGCCATTAATACCACTGAACGTCAATAACATACTTGAGCATCTAGTCATGAATTAAATCATCCATGGAAACGTATAACCATGTAATAAACATTAGGACATAACATACCCAAAATAACATCCATGTCAAAATCTTATAGTGATAAAACAAGGTAGACTTGTCACAAGTATTCCTGATGATGTATAAAACATCTATATACATGATGTATAGAACGTCTATGTACAATGTCATGCATGTATTGCACTCACCTTGACACTTTATATCTATCGAAAGATGTGCCTCACTATGCTCCTCACTAGATCCTTTTATATTCGATTTGCTTCGATCATAAAACTCAATCACAATCTGGAAAAAGTCACAAATTGATATCGATACATATGTTAGTATTGTATTAACATAATCACATTTCCAAATAAAATCCATAATATACTTGAAACTTTTTATTTTCTACCAAAATACTTGAACACTTAATAATTCCTTTTTAATATTGGCACAAACTTTTCCAATTTACACAAAATGGGCCTTCACCATTTTATCACTTAAATTTTTAAAACCAAAATTCTAGCATTGAAATTATTACCATTCAAGTGCGTTTACAAAGGAATAATTACATTTAAGCACCCCAACTATACGAATAATGTTATCAAATCACCATATTTTTGAAACTTCCAAAATGGTCATATTTCACATCTTAATGCTCATTTCAATTCCATAACAATAATTTCTAGCATAGTACATCAACTATTAACCAATTTCACAAACATTCACAACTTTTCCAAAATTACCTAATTGGTCTGCCAACTTTTAAAAAATTACTAAATGGTCCCCAAATTTTTCGAAGGCTTATTACATACTTCTACATCATTTAGAAAGTTATTTAAAATAAAAAAATACCCAAAAATCATCATAAATGTCTTTGTTTGGTTTCTAATCATCTGCCAAAGCTTTAGAAAGTTATTTAGAGTAATACATTTTCATTAAAACACATGGTTTACATCAATTTTGTCATCTAATAATGAAATCAAGCATAAACCCTAAAATAAACTCAAATCTCAACAAATCTTCATGATTATGAAAGCTTTAATACCACAAAAGATTAGAAATACACTACCTTGATGTTAGAATCCCAAAATTAAGCTCCTTGCTTAGCCACACTCACTTCTCTTAAGATTTGGTTTATTCTCCACATTTTTCTCTATCCAATAAAGATGGATTTTCTAAACATATAAAAGGTTACAGGAAGTGTTTGGGAAAGATTAAAAGTCTAAATTTATAGGGAAAGATGTTCTTAACAACCACTTGGAGCTATGGAGGCTTAGAGAAGAAATGAAGAAGAAATGAAGAAGAAATGAAGAGAAGAAAATATGGGATAACCCATCTCCAACCTATAAATAAAACCTAAAGTACCATCATCTTTTTCTTTAATGGACTAATTATGATCTTTTTCCTTCCTTTTTTTCTTATATTAAAAAATCCAATTTTTATGGCTAATTGGGCGTAATTCCAACCTAATTAAATTCTCACTCAACTGATTCTTATTTTCCTTGCAACTCACATACATGCTAATCACTATATCATGCATCTAAGGTAACCACAGTTGAAAATTGATTAGTTGCTCAGTGAAACTAGCAGCATCTAGCTCTCTTAGAGAGCACACAACACAACGAAAAGATCATTTGCAATTATACTCTAACTCAAGGATTCCATGAATCTACGTCTTGTGCCCATGATCGCTTACTATCAATATGTTGTTCGTTGACAACCAATTCCAGTCAAGCGATGCTTTATGTACTTGGTCTCTTTTAGACTCAAGCACTAAAACCCTTTGTATTACACAACGTTACATATTGCTCTTTGTTGTATATAGATCACACTCACATACCAATACCAAGATAATAAGGATGTAGTTTAGGGTTGAAAACTCAAACTCTTATTTAACTACAAAAGCAGACTTTACGGTGTTAACCAAGGTCACACAACATCGAAAGACTTACACCCTACAAGTCTACTAACAAAGTTAATTTGGATGTGACTTAGACATACTCATGTTAGGAATATCCATCCATTAACCCTACATAGTTTGTTCCTCAACTCGACTCTTATAAGTTTTGAGTAACATATCACACACGATTAACGATTGCAACATATACTACTCGTCATCCTCAATACTTTTCTTAGGGATATAAACCTATAGATCTAAACTTAGGATTACTTGAGACCTATGGAGATGGTCGCGTGAACCATCGACTATGGAGGCGGATACACACTCCAATAACCTTAGTCCTATCCTTGAACAGCCACATAGATTCTCTCTCATGGAACCGGTTCAGGCGAAGGGTTCTACTAAGAAACATCTCTTTAGAGCTAACCCTCAACTCCACAAGAAACAACCAAGAGTTATCTACACTCCTAACTCATTATTTTA